TGAAATATGATCATGCTTCTTCCAAGTCCCCTCACATCTCCCCCAATGTGAGCCCTTATCAGTTTCAGGAGTGTCATTCTTTTTTGAGGTTGTGTCCAACATAGGTTTTCCATATTCCAGTGCGTGGTCCCACAGTCACAAACATATGGGGAGCACTAACTGGATTTGGTAGGTAATTCCTATATCTTTATCAAAATTTGCCATCAGGGAATACTCTTTCTGTGAGGGGAGGCCAGTATTGATATCCTTATGGCTTTGGATTTCTTTACTATTGTTTTTCCTTTGTACCTTGGAAGATTCATTTGTAGCTCTGTGTGACTGGTTTTAGCATTTAGTTGTCTGGAATGAGTTCTAATTTAATTTTTGACTTAATAGGAGCTTTAAGAGTTGTGTTGTTTTAAATAACCCTAACCTTGTTGTGTTAGTTGGTTTTACACATCAGTGTGATGAAATGGCTATGATGATCAACTTACTGAGAGGGAACATTCATTTCAGCTCATGGTTTAGAGTTTTTGTTGCATGGTCACAGCGTAAAGGAGATGAGTTCTTGTTGGTTCTCTCTAGCACTACTGGGGCAGGGTTCCCAGGCATCTGATTTATCGGAAAGCATAAAAAAGATTCTTTTTTTTTTTAATCAATAATGATTTTTTTAATTCTTTTTTTAAAATTTAGATAAGAAACAAGGTTGCTTCACAAGTCAGTTCCAGGTCCCTCTCCTTTTCCCTCCCCTCCTCCCGTGCCCTCCCCCCATCCCCCCCCCCGTTATCCCCTCATTCCCCCAGGGAGGGTGAGGCCCTCCATGGGGGTGTCCATAGTCTGTCATTTCATATAGGGCAGGGCCTAGACCCTTCCCCAAGAGTTCAGGGTGAGAGTGCACCTCACATTGTTCTATGGGAGTCCAAAGTCCGTGTGCATATTTGGTATGGGTACTGATCTGCTGCCCAAGGCTCAATAGATTACCTAGGCCTCCTCACTGACACCCAGATTCAGGGGGTCTTGATCAGTCCCATGCTGGATTCCCAGGTTGATGCCTGGGATTCAAGAGTTAACCTTTGTCTGGTCAGCTGTTTCTGGGGGTTAAACCAGCCCAGTCTTAATCCCTTTGATCATCAGTCCTCCCTCTCTGATACTGGCTTTCTTGAGTTCAGCTCAGTACTTAACCAGCCACTAAATGTAGTTTCTGTTTCCCAGACTCTCTGGCCATAGGATTGTAGGCTGGCACTCCCCAGATCTATGTCTAAAATCCATATATGAGAGAGTACATGCCATGTTTCTCTTTTTGTGACTGGGTTACCTCACTCAGGATGGTTTCTTCTAGTGTCATCCATTTGCCTGCGAATCTCATGATTCCATTATTTTTTTCTGCTGAATAGTACTCCATTGTGTAGATGTACCACATTTTCTCTATCCACTCTTCGGGTGAGGGACATCTAGGTTGCTTCCAAGTTCTGGCTATTACAAATAAAGCTGCTATGAACATAGTGGAACAGACATCTTTGTTGTATGAATGGGCATCTTTTGGATATATGCCTAAGAGTGGAGTTGCTGGGTCTTGTGGTAGGTTTATTCCCATTTTTCTGAGGAATCTCCATACTGCTTTCCAAAGTGGCTGAACCAGTTGGCACTCCCACCAGCAATGGAGGAGTGTCCCCCTTTCACCACATCCTCTCCAGCATAAATTGTCATTGGTGTTTTTGATTTTAGCCATTCTGACAGGAGTGAGATGGTATCTCAGAGTTGTTTTGATTTGCATTTCCCGGATGGCTAAGGATGTTGAGCACTTTCTCAAGTGCCTCTCAGCCATTTTAGACTCCTCTATTGAAAACTCTCTATTTAGTTCTGCAGCCCACTTTTTAATTGGGTCCTTTGCTGTTTTGGAGACTTGCTTCTTGAGTTCTTTGTAAATTTTGGAGATCAACCCTCTGTCAGATGTGGGATTAGTGAATATTTTTTCCCATTCTGTGGGCTGCCTTTTTGTCTTGCTGACTGTGTCCTTTGCCTTACAGAAGCTTCTCAGTTTCAGTAGGTCCCATTTATTAATTGTTGATCTCACTGTCTGTGCTACTGGTGTTATGTTCAGGAAGCTGTCTCCTGTACCAATTCGTTCAAGGGTACCACCCACTTTCTCTTCTATGAGGTTCAGTGTGGCTGGATTTATGTTGAGGTCTTTGATCCATTTGGACTTAAGTTTTGTGCATGGCGATAAACATGGATCGATCCGCATTCTTCTACATGCCAGTCTCCAATTATGCCAGCACCATTTGTTGAAGATGCTTTCTTTATTCCATTGTATATTTTTAGCTTCTTTGTCAAAGATCAGATGTTTGTACGTGTGTGGGTTAATACCCGGATTTTCAATTTGATTCCATTGGTCTACCTGTCTATTTTTGTGCCAATACCAAGCTGTTTTCAGGACTATAGCTCTATAATAGAGCTTGAGGTCAGGGATGGTGATGCCTCCGGACGTTGCCTTGTTGAACAGGGTTGTTTTGGCTATCCTGGGTCTTTTGTTTTTCCATACAAAATTGATTATTGTTCTTTCAAGGTCTGTGAAGAATTGTGCTGGGATTTTAATGGGGATAGCATTGAATCTGTAGATTGCTTTTGGCAGGATTGCCATTTTTACTACATTGATCCTACCTATCCAAGAGCATGGGAGATCTTTCCATTTTCTGAGGGCTTCTTTAATTTCTTTCTTTAAAGATTCAAAGTTCTTACGATACAGGTCTTTCACTTGTTTGGTTAGCGTTACCCCAAGGTATTTTATGTTGTTTGTGGCAATTGTAAAGGGTGATGTTTCTCTGATTTCTCTTTCAGCCCTTTTATCATCTGTATATAGTAGGGCTACTGATTTTCTTGAGTTGATCTTGTAGCCTGCCACTTTGCTGAAGGTGTTAATCAGCTGTAAGAGTTCCCTGGTAGAGTTCTTTGGGTCATTGATGTAAACTATCATATCATCTGCAAACAGTGAAAGATTGACTTCTTCCTTCCCAATTTGTATCCCCTTGATCCCCCTTTGTTGTCGTATGGCAATAGCTAGAACTTCAAGTACCATGTTGAAAAGGTATGGAGAGAGTGGACAGCCTTGTTTTGTTCCTGATTTTAGAGGAATTGCGTTGAGTTTCTGTCCATTTAGTTTGATGTTGGCTGTTGGTTTACTGTATATGGCTTTTATTATGTTTAAGTATGTCCCTGTTATCCCAGATCTCTCCAAGACCTTTATCATGAAGGGGTGTTGGATTTTGTCAAAGGCTTTTTCAGCATCTAGTGAGATGATCATGTGATTTTTGTTTTTCAGCTTGTTTATATGGTGGATTACGTTGATGGATTTTCGTATGTTGAACCATCCCTGCATCCCTGGGATGAAACCTACTTGATCGTGGTGAATGATTGTTTTGATGTGTTCTTGGATCCGATTTGCCCGTATTTTATTGAGTAATAAAAAAGATTCTTAGATAGAACAATTGTCAACTTGTCTTGGAGTCTTGCTTGCCTCAGCTCCTGTGTGCCCACATGCTTATTCTATTTTCCTTTCGCCATTTAGCCCTTCTGCCCACTTGTGCTGGCTTCTATGCGCTGCCATTCTGTGTCCCTCGATCCTTATCCCTTGTGATAGAACCTTTTTGTCTCACTGCGGAAGTCTGTCACTCGTAAAGCACCTCCACAAATGCTGTGCTGTTTTCAGCTTCAGAATCATCCCATGGGCCAGGATTTATCAGTCATAGGATCCTGTGGCTCAAAAGTCTAAAATTTCCAACTGGTTAAATGCTAACCTTTGGTATTTTGTAGCAGCACCTCATTATCAAACTCTCCTCCTAGTGGATTTACAAGATGAACACAGATATTAAACCTCTCCATAATAAAAATTCAACTGTTCGTTGTTTTACCACATGGTGTCCCTTGTGTGTTGTCATCAATAGTAAACTTACTTGGCATGCTATTAAAAACAGAGAAACAGCCAAAACACATTGCTTAAATTATGTTATTCCTTGTTAAATTCTAAATTGCAATATGTCTCAGGTTTTTAAAAGTTCTATTTATTCATTCACTTACTATTTTATTAGTTATTTTAAAGTTACTACACAAAGTAATTTGCTTCATTGTGATCTTTCATTTCTACACACACACACACTCTCTCTTTAAATATTTATTTTGTGTATATATACACTTACATGGAGGTCAGATAACAATTTGTGGGAGGTGGCTCACTCTACCATGTGTGTCCCTGAGATGGACTTGGGTCATGGGGTGTGGTGACAAGCCTTGCTGAGCCATCTAACCTGCACTATTATACTTTATTCTTATTTAAACTGGTCATACATTGACCTCTGTGTCCTTCACCACCTAATTAGTCCTTTATGCTTTTATGTCACGTATATTCTATCTTCCATCTTCAGCTTCTTTTTCTTTTTTGTTTTTCGAGGCTTGGTTTCTCTGTATTGTTTTGGAGACTGTCCTGTAATTCTCTTCGGAGACCAGGCTGGCCTTGCACTCACAGAGATCTGCCTGCCTCTGCATCCTGAGTGCTGGGACTAAAGGGACTAACGGCGTGCGCCACCACCACCCAGCCCATCTTCACTTTCTATTATTTCTTTTGCCATTTATATATAACAAATAAACATGCATATATAATAAATCTAGATTCTGCATATGACAAGAAAGCTTACTATTTCATCCATTCTTCTACTAAAGAACACATGACTTTTGCCAATCTAGCAATTGGAGGCAGAAGCAGGTGGATCTCTGTGAGTGCTCAGTCTGCTCTACACAGCGAGTATCTGAACAACCAGGGTTAAACGAAGAACCCTTGTCTCAAAACATAAAACATAAAACAACAAAAAAAATCGTGATTCTGAATTTACATAGTGATCACTCAACTTCTGTGAGTGTCTTTAATGTATAGAACGTTTCCCCAAAGCTGTTAATTCGAACTGTGTACACGTAGCAAAACTTGAGAAAGTAAAAGCAAGTGTATTTACACCGCACTGCTTTACTTCCAGCAACCGTCATCTGACCTGGAATTTGACCGGGTGGTGATTTATACAACCTGCCTTCGTGTGGTGAGAACAACCTTTGAGAGATGTGAGCTGGTTAGGAAGATCTTCCAGAATCATCGAGTAAAATTTGAAGAGAAAAACATTGCTCTGAATGGTGACTATGGGAAAGAACTGGATGAACGGTGCCGACGAGTGTCCGAAGCGCCTTCTCTCCCGGTTGTGTTCATTGACGGCCATTACCTTGGGGTAAGTATACTGCAGAAGAAAACTGCCTCTGTTGTGTGTCCCACCTAGAAACTGTATGAAAAGATGACTTGTGGCATGATCACCCTCACATTTGCTATTTGGAGGAGCTCAGAACAAAGGGCTTGGAGTTTTATTTCTATTCCAAACCATGCAATGCTCTTTTGCTCATCCTGGTGAGATGAAATCAGTGTGAAATTGCTTTGCTGAATAGTGACACATCCCTGAAGTGCTCAGTTAGCTTTGACTTTTAGAAAACTGATCCAAGATAAAACTACATTTTTAGTGTAAACAAGAAAAATAGAATATTTATAAGAGGAACATTTGTAATTTTTTTAAAATTCTCCATAATCAAATATTCAGTTCCGTACCTAAAGAAACAAAAATGGCTGCCCTCTAATGAGGGCTGGAGCCAGAATTTTATCTTCCTATTGTTTAATATCTTATTTTGAGTTTGGTAACAGGGCAGTGTGACACAGATTCAGACTTGCAGATAAGCAGAGAGACCCCAGCTTCCAGTAGAGCAACAAATATGCCTCCTTCTTGCTCTCTAATGAACACTAGTGTTGTTAACTCCCTTTGATTTATGAACATAATTGGGTAAAACACCCCATGACAGGGTATTGAGAGGATGAGAACTAAGAGTCGAGGGGGATACCAACCAATGAGAGACACTGCTGACTGAATGATCCCTTATCAGAGGTCAAAGACTCTCAGACCTTAGAAGGATGCTTACATCTTGGTCAGGCTCAGCATCAGATCTTAACTTTTAACTTTGAGGGGTAGAGAAAAATTCACATTGGGAGGAATTCTTGTTTGGTTTCAGAGAACTTGTGTCTATTATATTGACTACAGCCATTGTTGGCAGCAGCCTGTTATCTAAGGGAATGATAAAGGCCAAGAATCCATGATCACATAGCTATAGTGACATTTTGTTTCTATGAGAACTGGAAAAGCACACTACCTTTTTAAATAAAGGAATTTTGACTTTAAGTATTGATCCTCTTTCGTGTGTGTTTCAACCTATACTCTTGGGTCCCAAAAAACAGTGGCTTTGACAGTACTGTTAAAAGCCAGGACAGTGACAGTGATATCTTATATTGCCTTCTCAGCTTGTCATGTCTTACTCTTAGGATACTCAATGCTCAGCCCTCCCCATGGCTATTGGATAAGAAGCAAATGGACTCTAGGCAGCATCGTTTTAAATTCCTGCTCTGATACTCATCATGTAACACTGGAATGACACTAAGGCTGACTTCACAGGCTGATTGTAAGAAATTGAGGGGGACAAACAATGCACATTTTCAAGAAATACTATGAATTTCCTCTTCCCCAAAAGAGTAATAACCTTTGCTCCAAGTAACGTAACTAAGGAAGGATGAATGGGAGACTAAGTTAGCTCTGACATTCCAAACCCTTGTGATGGGGGAAGCCCTGTACATTTGTCAATAAAGTACTGTTGAGCTAATAGGAATCTAGATAGGTGGGACTAGGAGTCCAGGAGGATTCTGGGAAGGAGAAACACAGGGAGTCGACATGTAACGCCATGAGGTAGGAAGCCCGGAACTATTCTCCAGTAAGAGACATACTTAGATTAACAATTATGGGGTAATTACTCAAGTCAGAGCTAGCCAGTAAGAAACAAGCAAGGCCAACAGTTTCATAATTATTATAGCTTCCTGTGTGTTTATTTGGGACTGATGCGGCTCTAGAACCAGGCTGGCGGGAAGGCTTCTCTCAAGGAAAAGACTTCTCATAACACCCTTGTTTTGTGCAAGGCCCCTATGAGGAAAGGGACTCTACTATGTAGTATTAGCACTTAAAATAGGACTCGGCATGATGTAGATGCTCCAATGAACTTAGATCGACTGGATATGAGACTTGGTGATGCACCTTCCTCACATTTATTTCTTCTCTCCCTGACTTCCTCCACAAACCAAGGATATGATATATTCACACACCAGGGGAATGTAACTTACAAGGATTGTAGGCTGTGGCTGAGCGTGTATCTCAGCTGGTAGGGTGCTTGCCTCGTAGCACAAAGCCCCTGGGTTTCACCCCAATACTGCATAATCTGAGTGTGGTGGCACATGCCTATAATTCTAGTACATATACTTGGGAGATGGGAGCAGGAGGACCCGGAAGTACAGGGCACTCAATTACAAGGAGAGTTTGAAGCCATTCTGGGATTCATAAGACCCCATTTTAAACAGAACAACAACTACAACAACAACAACAACAAAAAACAGCAGGCAATGAAAGATAGATGGAGACCCTTTTAACTGGGAAGCATTCTGATACTGTAAATATTTTTTACTATGTGTCTTAATTAGGGTTTTGTTGCTGTGAAGGGATACCATGACCATGGCAGCTCTTATAAAGGAAGCATGGGAACATGCAGTTAGACCTGGTGTTGAGAGATAGCTGAGAATTCTACATCTGGATACAAAGACAGCAGAAAGAGACAGTGAGCCACTAAGCTTGTATTGAGGTTTTGAAACGTTTCTCCAATAAGACCACATCTACTCCAACAGGCCAAATCTCCTAAGTGCCACTCCTTATGTGCCTGTGGGGGTTGTTTTTGTTCCAATCAACAGTGTGTAGGTTCAATTTCAATGAAACTATAGGATTAAAATTAGAGGACAATTCCCAGCATCCTCAGGTATAAGGTCGTCTCCACTCATGCTGTTCCTGTCCCTGTCTGTTGCCATCCAGAATGCAATTTCTTTCAGCTTCTGAGGCCATGTACCAGGACATGACACCTGTCTTATCATTTGTCTTTCAGTTGGAGGGACAGAGGCGATTGCCTCAAATGCAGTCATGATCTTGGCTCTTTTTCAGTTGTGTCTTCCTTCGGTCTTTTTATGTGCACGATCAGCACCTAAGAGAGGGAGGTGGCAGGGGTAACTCTGCTGCTTCTGTAATTTGAGGCTGCTGCTATGCACCTGGGGGGAGCCAGGAAACAGAGGCATTTTCTTCTTCCCTCTCAGAAAGGGAGAGTGATTTTTAACCCTACGATTCAAAATGGTAGAGTCCTGAATAGCTTGTATCACAATTCTCCAAACCCTGCCAGCTGTGGTTTGAATCTAGATGCAGAACTGTCTGTGGTTTCCACTATGATGAGTTTCCTCTGCACAATTCATAGATCTGAAATGGAAGGATGCCCTCTGCTGGGCTTTGACAGATGTTGAACCATTGTTTGTAGGGAGGATATTTGACTGTTGCTGGTGACTTCCCTAACATCTGTGGTGTTTTAAACAGCCACAGGAAGCCATTTACAGCAGTTTGAAATTAGGTGAGTGAGAATGGTTGGTGTGTGGGAATCATTTGTACGGTACCACTTTGTTTAAACAGGGAGAAATATAACAGCTAGAGAACGAGAAAGACAGAAACAGGGCCAGGGCAGATGGAGACAGACTTCAAACAGAGAAAGGGTAGGGAAAGCAGGGCAGTGTCTGGTATCTTTCTTGCTGACTTACCATCATCACCAAGGCCTGGGTGGGTGATGCTGGCTGAATTCATTTTCTTCTTCCAAGAGAGGCCAGTGAGCTCAATAAGTAAGAATGGAAAAATCAACATGAACATTTTCCCCTATAGTTCCTGACGCCAACATAACTAAAAACTGAAGATGGAAGCAATAAAACACTTGGTGAGAAAAAATTACTTTAGTAAATAAATTTTCACTGCCCATCTATGCTTTCTGGGGGACAATAGAGGTACATGCATCTCAGAACTGGTTTCAGCAATTCTCCTGATGTTTTGGCATCAGATCATAGTCCCATGAAAATATTATGTCTTACTACCTTAGTCATAAGCACCCTTAGACATTCCACTAAGAAATGGGCTAGAAATCATGATTTGTCTGGACCAACCACTGAATCTACACTGGAAACCTACAAAATTCATGTTGGAACGAGGCTACAAACAACATGTAGGTTCCCAATGCATTTCACACTTAGTCTACAATAAACTCCTAACAAAAACTCTTTGTTCATTCTAAATTAATTTTAGATCACTGTAATTATTTTTTCTTTTATAGCATCTTTTTAAAAAACTTGTAAACTCCTCTGTAAATACAATTTAAGATGTAAAAAATTGCACAGCTCTGCCAGAATACTTTCTTTATAGTCTTATTTGCTGTATTTCAAGAGTAATCCTTAGAAATGTTTAAGATTGTTTCTCGAGTCTATATTTCTAGGTTGAAAAGCTGTGCTCAATAATAAATGCCTTCATTCTTTCATGGAGCAATACTATTCTTTAAATAGATACAGAATTATTGTTTGTGAGACTTTAGCATTGACTACTTAAAGAGGTCTCCGTAGATCAATGGCAGTTTGAAATGATGCCATTAACACATGTAAGAATGAACAAAAAAATTTGCTAGTAGATTATTGTGGACTAAGTGTGAAGTGTAATGTGCATGGTGTCTTAGGTCTTCACACCCTCCCTCCCACTATTCACTGGCTAGCTTTTCCGGAACAAAGACTGGTTCAGCAAGCACCATCCATGGTAAGTATAGCAGAAACAGAAAAAATATTTAAAAATCATATATATTTTATTCATTAGTTAGGACTAAAAACTTTAACTGAGAAGAGTAAAGCAGTCAAATGTTCTTTTCTTTAAAAGTTTTAAAATCAAGATATAATTATATCACTTCCCTCTTCTTCGTCCCCCACTAACCTCTCTTGTTCCCTCTTTACTCCCTCTCAAACTGATGACCTCTTTATTATTGTTATATCTATTATACATTATTTATTCTTGTCTGAACACACACATTTAACAGTTTGAGGCTAGGATTCACATGAGTGAGAAGATACAGTATTTGCCTTCTGAGTTTGGGTTACCTCTCAAAATATTTTTGGGTTCTTTCCATTTTTTTTGAAAATTTCCTAGTTTCATTTTCCTATATGGTTGAATTCCATTGACTATATTTGTATGACATTTTCATTATCCAGTTATCTGTTGATGGATGTTGAGAGTGAGTCCATTTCTTTGCTATTGTG